AACAAAGTCTTTGTAAATAGGGAGGGATGGAGGGGGTTGAAGGGAGGGCAGGGGAAGGGGGAAAAATAAGAACCAAGAGAATATGTAAAGGTGGATATCTCCAATGATGAATGTCATTATATTGTACACCTAAATTGTACCAATAAAAGGATATACAAAAAAAATAAAATAAAAATTTGTCTCCTTAAGGAAGGTGTTTGTTCTAAAGATGTTGGAATTAAAATCCTTGGACACTTTTTACTTTGAATCCATTATCAGAGCTACATGTACAATATCCTAGAATATCTGCCTCATTAACTTAGTCTTGAGTTTTTATACAATTAGTACTGTCAAGCTTGATTGTCTTTTCTACCATATAAATCCAAGTTTTAGAAAATTTCCCAGATCAGACACCAAACTTTTAACAATAGAGATTTTCTTTCTTCTCTTCTCATCTGTTTCTGTGTCTTTCTCTCTTGTCTGTGTCTGCCTCTATCTCTCTCTGTCTCTGTCTCTGTCTTGGATGGTGGTGAAGTTGTTTAGTAGTAGAGCATTGCCTTGCATACACAAGGTCCTGGATTCAATCCCCAGCACCAAAATTTTTTTAAAATCTCAGGAACTAAAGAGTGGCATTATTGTCCCAAGTATTGAGAACAGAAATTATTGTCCCAAGTACTGCCATCAGTGTCAACAACGTAGACTGAAAAATCTTTTCAGCATTAGTCAGATTCTATCACTGGTCCCCTCCAAACTCTAGCCTCCAACAGCAGTCCCCTAAAGTGACAGCCACTGTCTTGATCACCCACAGGCTCTTCTCTCTCTCCTCTCCCCCCAAGCACTTTGCCTTGGCCATTCCCTCACCACCATACGAGCTTTTGCTCAGATATCACCCTTACATCCCTGCTCACCCCACCTCTAAGCCAGCACATACAGTGCACTGCCTTCTGGATTCTAATACTGCTCCTCCTTTCCTCCAAAATTCATAATTTATGGATCTGTCTTCCCCTGCTGGAATATGAGCTCCATGAGGGTGGAGGAATTCATCTGCTTTGTTGTTGGACCCCAGATATCACTCAGCACATGCTCAGGAAAGGAGAGTCCAGAGAAGAACAAATCAATATGGTGGCATCACCTGCCATGGTACTGCTTCCAAGGAGACAACATTCATGGGATAGATTTGTAAGACTTGGTGAGCTCAGACAAAACAAAGCCATTATGTTATATACTATCTCACAGTTATCTCATACTTTATATCTTTTTAAAGATCTGATAATGGTTTAGTTAAAAACATAAAATTGCTTTATAATTCTCGGTCATTGGTGACACTTTGTTATAAACCAATAAAGTAAGTTTATGTTTAAAATGATACACTGTTAGTCTGGGGATGTAGCTCAGCAACACAGTGCCTACCTGGCAAACGTGAGGCCCTGAGTTCAATTCTTGGTACCAAAAAAAAAAAGACATACTGCTATATTTATATCTTCTTGAGCTTGGATTATTCCTTTTTTGAAATGGTCTCACTATGGAGCTTAAGCTGTTCTTCAACTTGCAATCCTCTTGCCTCAGCTTCTTGAGTGGTAGGCCATTTCTGGTAATTCTGCACTCCTTGGCAGTCCTGGGCTGGTCCCTATGTCTGCACTGTGAAGCTCCCTGAGCACACTCACAGGGCTAACTCTCTGACTCCCCAGGTTCAACACCTCTGACTCACGCTGCAGTAAACTATGACTCCTTTAGCAACCACTTCAAGGATCTTTTGGGTGTTTGTTATAAACCAATGATTCAATGATACAGTATATTCATATATTTTTCAGTGTCCTAGTAGTAAATGTTATTTCAATGTGGTGAAACTGAACTTATTTTTGTTTGTGTGTGTGGTATTGGGGATTGAATCCTGGGTCTCTGCCCTGACCTATATTTCCTAGCCCTTATTTTATTTTATTTAAAAATTTATTATTATTATTTTTTAGTACTGGGGATCAAACTCAGGACCTTGCACTTGCAACGTAGGTATGGTGCCACTGAGCTAAATCCCTGGCCTTATTTTTTTTAATTTTAAGACAGGTCATTTTGCTAAGCCACTAAATTGCTCTCATTTGTCATCCTATTGCCTCAGCCTCCAGAATGCTGGGATAACAGGCATGAACCACCAGAGCTGGCTTCATTCTGAGTTTTAAAAAAGTCATATAAAGCAATTTTCCCCTTACCAATTAAAATTAAAGCCACATTTTCATTCATAAAATATTGCATAAATATTGGAATATGTTCATGATCATTTCCAAATGGATGAAAACCTTGGAAAGTTTTTTACCTGGATTAGTTGTAATAATAGTTTTTGAGATTACAGTGGCTGTCATGCAGTTCCGAAATTTGTCAAAATTTATTCTTACATCTGAGGCAAATATCACTGTTTGGGGAAAAAAATTTAAAATTATTACATGAGAACATAAAAATGACAAATATTTAACCCAATTATAAAATTATGATACCTGTCTCTTGTGGCATCCAGCTCTGTGCAAGTAGAATGAATTCATTATCCCAACTGCATTTGTTTAAAAAGAAGTGACATAAAATAAGTACCTTAGAAAAATGATAGTGACACATTGTTTACCACAAAAGAAAAAAAAAACAACTCTGCCTCAGTGGCTGAGGTTAACAATTCAGGTGGATAGAAATTAGGGATATTTGCTTCTATGTGTTAAATCATCCTTTCAACACACACACACTCACTCATCTCTAACAACTCTCTGCTCTACCAATTCTTTTGTTTTCCCAGCTCTTAGATACTCCCAGCTAGCTGAAATAGAGTGACTGAAAGTCTAAAGGCTTTAAAATTTTCAGTCCATTAAAGTAGGACCCCCAAAATAGATTAATTTCTCAAGGGACTTGATGAGAGGAAGGCACTTTTCAGATCAGTCTCCCTAGGTACCCAGACACCAGAAGTCTAATAGTTCCTTGTTGTATTCTACAGTACTTCAGGGTGCAACTTCCACTTTTTGCCCCATCCCACTCTAGGGTACTTCTAAAGAAGTGCAGAAAGTCTGGCTTATTCCTTATACTTGGGACCTAATAAAACACCATTTGTTATAAAATAGAATATAATAAAAGTGGTCACAGTGGAGTCCATCTAAATAACTCTGTATCATCCAAAGATCTCATTTTAAGATGGCAGCCATAAGAATTCAACATTCCTGAGAGGTTTATTTTTTCATGTCTTATCTCCTATTATTATTCCTCTCTTAATATGAAATTTGCTGTCTATTTGATAAAATTAAAATGTTCTGTTTTGGTGATAAACAGCAGGGTATCACTTTAGAACATATGTAGGAAGTTACCATGTCATTGCAAAAGAAGACTCTGTTTCATCATAAAGTTTAACTTCACATCTCTGGCCTTTTCTTTGGTCTGAAGTTATAAAGTATTTTGGTTCTCCAACCTTAGAAATAGAAAGAAATCACTATTTTTTACTTGTGTAGGTACAGGTCCTTAAATGTTTATTGATAGAAATATTCAAATATTTACCTTTTACACATCAAATTGAAAATATTAAAATTGCAAGGAACAGTAACATAATGTTGATTATCTTAAGGAGCCTTCTGATTGAATTAGGTATATTTAGCTGAAGTGGTAATTACACTTTGAAGAGAGATATATGCTTAAAGTTAAGACTGTATGTCTTCAACATGCCAAAACAAATGCTCCATGGCAGGCCTCCTGAGGGTGCCTATGTGGACCCTTTGAGGGTAGGGAGTGAACTTTCAACTGTACATCCCTATGGCTTAGCACAGACCCTGGCATGGAGCCATACTCTCAGCCTTTTTTTTTTGTACTGGGGATTAAACTTGGGATCTTGTGCTTGGGGGCAGGCGCTGGCATCACTGAGCTAAATCCCTTGCCCTCCCAGACATTTAAAAAAATTTTATTGTTTTACTTTGAGATAAGGTCTCACTATGTCACTAAATTGCCTAGGCTGGGCTTGAGCTTATGATGGCTTCAGTCTCCCAGAGTGCTGTGCTTACAGACATGCACCACCATGCTAGGCTAAAACTTTACTTTTGAGATTCTGTAGATTTTTGCACAGTGACTTAGTCTGTCATATCTACAGAACTCAGAACTTGCTGCAATAACCAAGATGGATTCTGGCGCCACAGAAGGTAATACATTCCTGGGCCTGTGGGGTGCTGTCCTACATGCTTCTTAGCAGTATGTGCCACACCAGCCCCTATAGCAGCACACTGGTGTTCTCTCTCCTTCCTCATCTCTGGGTAACCTTGAAAACACAGGCAGAGAGCTGATTCCTGGGCTTATTCAACTACCCCTCTTCAGGGAACATCTTGGCTTTTCAAGTCAATACACTTGTCCTTTCTATATGCATATTTTTTCTATACGCATTTTTGTTTAACTCAAGTCTCAAAAGTTCTCAAACAGTGGATCATTTACAAGTAAAAAATGGTATACATTACATTTATCATTCCAATTGTTACTCATTTATAGGTAAAATGCTACTTTCCCTTTAATAAGAAGTGTTTTTTCTTAGCCCAAATCACTACTTATCTTACTAGCAAAAATCACCCAAACTGATCCTGACCACTACATTCCAAACAAAGTAGCTGACAAGAGACTCCCTTGCCAAACTATAGTTGGCTTTGTTGGTGTTTTAACTTACCGATCTCACAGCCGCAAGGATATTAAGGAAGCTCCCATCAAGACTGTGTCCATTTGCAACAATGTCGCCCAATGAATAATAATCACGAGACTCTTTAACAGGTAAATGTTTCAAAGAAAGTAACTTGGTGTCTACTTCATAACTGGAACAAACTTTTACCATTGAATGATTCTCACTGAGCAATAGTTTACAGTTGCTAAATAGAAAAAATACATTAAAAAGTATCAAATGACTTAATAGAAAAATACTTCCAGTTCACAGTCCTATTTTTTTGTTGTAATTTAGGCTATCTTAAGAAATTTATGCTTTTACTTTTAGAAACATTGAATAATGTTGCAAAATATTTTTGTCTAAAATGTACTTGCTTTTCATCTCAGTCTTTATTTCTTCAAAGAAATATACTGCCAATTAAGAAAGTGTTTTGGGGATCAATTTGTGCCTGTGTTGTCCAAAATTCTGAGCTTCAGTTTCCTTTTCTATAAAATAGGGGTATAAAGGGATATATAGCACTAAATTGGGCACAGTGGTGCATGCCTGTAATCCCAGAATTCTGGGAGGCTGAGGCAAATAGGATTGCAAGTTCCAGCTCAGCCTGAGCAACTTAGCAGGACCCTGTTTCAAAATTTAAAAAACTAAAGGGAAATGGTAGCTGAGGATATAGTTCAGTGCAAAGGACTAGGGTTCAATACCCACTACCACAAAAAAGAGGACTCTAAAACTTTAGGGGGTTATAAAAATCCAAGAACCTGTTATTTCTCTCTCTTATGACCCTAACTGCTCTGCCTAAGGTCAAGGACAATGTCTTACTTATTTCAATTCTGCTATGAATGGAGTAGATACAGAATTTTTATAATACATTTGAATTGAGGTGCTCTTCTCCTTACATGCAATCAATAACCAAGTGTTCCATGGGGCATCCTTCACAGCAATTTTTTTTTTTTTTTTTTTGATGCTGATCTTAGACTCCTGAGCTCAATCTTCTGCCTCAACTTCCTGGGTAGCCGGGACTACAGGTGCACATCATGGTGTCTAGCTTTCACAGTTCTCTAACTTAGCCCTCTTCTTTTTTCTTCCTACCTTGGTTATCCACCTCATCATTTCTCTCCCAAACTACCACCTTGGTCTCCTAACTAACTTTCCCCTACAATCCATCCTCTACAGGCATCTGAAGTGATCTTCCTAAATCACAAATATGAAAATATTATTTCCCAGCTCAAAGACCTTCTGTGGCTATCCATTAAGAAGGAATGAACTTGGATGACAGGCAATGCTGTCTGCAAATGTCTCTGCTTCTCCTGCTCCTGCAAGATTCTCTTCCTGCTGGTCCTTGCACTTGGCCTGTATTCCAGTTATGAATATGAAATCAACATTTTTGGATGCAAAAAAGTTTAACATCAGCAATTTCATGTGGCTCAACTTGATAATAACTGAAAATGTTAGGTTTTGTGTTTATTTCTTCTGTCAAGAATGTTCTTTCCTCTCTCCTTCCATCCATTCATTTATTCCATAAATATTTACCGAGAAGCTGTTACATATCAGATCTTAGGCAGAGGAAAACAACATGAAAAAGATATACAAGACCTCTGCTCTTATGAAGTTCACATGTGTGAGGGGAGTCACAAGAACAATTAGTCAAATAATCTCAAACAATGGCCTGAATTGTGATACTATTAGCATGAGGATCCCAAGTCCTAGTGACTAACTAGAAAGACTCCTAAAGACTGAGTAAATGGGAGAGTCAAAGAAGGTAGCAGTTAAGCTGAGAGACTGACAATAAGAAGTAACAAGTATTCAAACAGATGAGAGAAAAATGTTTTCTGCAGAGGGAATAGAAAGTACAAGAGTTCTTAGTTTAGAATGACTCCAGGGTGTTCATGAAAGGGACTTGAGCATGTGGATTTTGTTACCGGCAGAGGTTCTGGAACCAGTCCTCCACTGGTATCAGGGGAAGGCTATACTAAATACAGCTACTTTTTCATGTTACTCCATGTCAAAGAAAATTATCTCATAAATCATCTTGTTTATCTCAAAATAAATATTGTTAAGAGGAAATTAAACTCCAAATTTTCAAATTGAAGTAGAGCCTCTTTAGTAAGCACTGTTAATCTGATCCAAAGTTATTAGTAATGATCCTTCTAGCACAAAAGTTGTTGGACTTTGTGCTAGAGAGATATTTACCTAGGAGTTGCAGGGCTGAACTTTTCTTCTCTTTCTATTTCCTTTCTTTGGATCAGGGGATTTTCAATTATCACTAAAACAGAGGGCAAAGTATGATGGCATCATAAGAGGATTAATGAAAAACAAGTGTACAGAGTTTGATCCCTCATACAAAAACAAAAAACAAGCGTACAAACAATGAACCTAACACTGCTAAGCTGGTGTCATAAATCCTTCACAGGCACATCATATGAGAATTGACCTCCTAGGATGCAGCCATCAATTTGACCCCAGATGACATTTCCAATACTTCATGTTTAAATCTCAACACATGATTCATATTTATATTATTTTAGCAATTTAGTTGCACTCAGCATTTGATTTGCATATAGTATTCTCTTCAATAAAACTAACTGACCTCCACTACTGCCCTGGGCCCTAGAAAGTTTGCAAAGTTTTCTGCCTTCATAGTCTACATGTTTAAAACCTTATTAGAGAGATACTATATATATCCCTGAAAATTAATAATACAAAGCAATATAATGGTTAGGTACCAAATAAATGACATGGTTGCTTAACTCTACAGTATTGGAGAAGAGTGGTTCATTACCTGTAGTACTCTTTCCAACTTTCTCTACCATAAAGGAGAGCTAATATATGTGCTTTCCTGTTTGTTTTGTTTAGAGCTGTCATCTACCCAATGACTAAGTTTTATACTTTATACTACACATCCTACCTCATTAAGCATTCAGAATAACCTAAAGGGTTGCTGGTTCATATAATATAAATACATGTTGGGGCTGAAATTTGAATCCAGATCTATGCTTTCAAAGTCCTTGTTTTTTGTTTTCAGATAGGATCTCGCTATGTAGCCAAGGGTAGCCTTCAACTCACAGCGATCCTTCTGTCTCAGCTTCCTGAATGCTGGGATTACAGGCATATACAACCATACCTGGCTAAAAGTCCTTTTATTTTGTACTGTCAGAGAGATTCTGGTGTGAGAAAAAGATGCAAAAAATTTGGTATTTTAACTAAAAGAAAGTTCCTTAAAAATTACATTAAGGAACTAGGTATGGTGAAGTGTACCTGTAATCCTTGCACTCTAGGATTGCTAGTTTGTGCCCAGCCTGGGTAACTTGACAACTTAGTGAGATGCTGTCTCAAAATAAAAAATAAATAAGCGCAAGATCCTGAGTTCAATCCCCGTACCAATAAATAAATAAATAAATAAAATAAAAGGAAAAGGGCTGGGGATTTAGTTCAGTGGTTCTGCTACCTGCCTCGCAACCACGAGGTCCTGAGTTCAATCCCTGATACCAAAAAGTAAAATAAAATAAAATAAAATAAATAATAAAGGGAGGGGGACTGGGGATGTAGCCCAGTACAAATGTTTAATTCCCAGAAAATGTCTTATCCTGTTTATATTCTTCAAGTAACATGCTGAATAACTTGCAACATGCAATCTCTTGCTCTTAACACCTTGATGTTTTTCTGATAAGGCTCCAGAGAATTATAAAGTGTGTCTTATTTCTTTGTGACTCCCTCAGTGTAGTTGCCACAAACAGTACAGTAATAAAAACAGTTTAAGGATCAGTGCTAACTTACCACACTCACCAATCCTAAAGCTGCCAGAAAGTGACTTGATGTAATCTTCGTTGCCCCAGGATGTTACATTTACAAAATAGGCTGGTGAATCACGAATAGTGAAACTGAAAGTGTATCTTTCTGATCCAATGTCTAAGGGAAAACCAATCCTTTTATTTTCTAAATGAAAAGTTTTATTTTGACTTTGAACAAATGATTATATGTTTAATCAAATGATCAGTTGATAGTATTAAAATAATAAAAAAAATACTTCAACACCTGGTAGAAAGTGTTATTTTAGGTGTACATTCTGTAAGTTATGCTTTCATGAATCTGAAAGTGAAATGATAACAAACCGCCAGTGCAGTTAGTTCACCTCACTGCTGGTCCCTTTGCTCCTTTCTCCAGTTATCTGTGTATTTGAAAGGAAATGACATGTAGACTTCAACTGTCCAGTTATAAGCTTAGATACTCTATTTTTCTGTTACTTTTTTTTTGGTACCAAGGATCGAACTCAGGCCCTTGCACTTGCAGCAGGCGGCGAAACCACTGAGCTAAATCTCCGGCCCTTCTGTTACTTTTATTGTCTTAACCTAAATCAAAATTCAGGTCTAGCTATTTCAAAACAAATTGTGTACTACTAAGTAATCACCACTAGGGGTCAGCAAGTACATTTTTGTCCAAAATGAAAATTTATTGTTTTTGGTAATTAAAAAATACAGTGGTGACGCACACTTGTAATGACACCACACAGGATGATCATGAGTTCACGGCCAACCTGGATTACAAAGCAAAACCTTGTCTCAAAACAAAGCAAAAAGTGGGCCGCGGATTTAGCTCAGTGGTTTCGCTAACTGCCTCACAAGTACAAGGTCCCGAGTTTGATCCCTGGTACCAACAACAAAAAAAGTAATACAACTTAACGTACATACCAATATATCTTGAACAGGGATTAATGTCTACCTTTGCGGAGAGGACTAGAGTGGGAAGGGTAGGTTGAAAAAGAAATTTTGCTTATTAACTATAGTTTTTCGCTGGGGATTTATCTCAGTGTTGCCACCACCTGCCTCACAAATGAAAGGTCCTGAGTTCGATCCCCAGTACCAAAACAAAAACAAAAAAACAAACTATATATTTTCTACAGACTGAATTTTTCATGAAAAAATAGTTATTTGTGCAGTGTTTTTCCTCTTTTTTTGGTACCAGGGATCGAACTCAGGTCATTGCACTTGTGTAGCAGGCAGCAAAACCACTGAGCTAAATCCCCAGCCCTGTACAGTGTTTTTAAAAGTCAGTAAGCATACCTTCCCCCAAAAAAGTACTATCAATATAAAAAGAAGCCAAACAATATTGAAGTATCCTCTCTTTCCCTTCAAACAATCTGAATGGTGAAAAATTGTATTTCACTATTATAATTTTAGCATATATTTTAATACTTTTTTCATAATTCATATATTTGAAATTATACCTTCTAGATCTTAGTAAACAGTAAGATATAAAGATTTTTCTCAAACTCTTCAAATGGTAATGCTGGTCTAATTATGAAAAAATAAAGCACATACATGAACATGTATGAGAATAAGATGTTAACTTGTTTTTTGTTTTTTGGTACCGGGGATCGAACTCGGGTTCTTGCACTTGCGAGGCAGGCAGTGGAACCACTGAGCTAAATCCCTGGCCCCAATGTTAACTTGTTATATAACCTCAAAAATAAAAATGACACATCAATATAAAACAAAACAAAAATAAAGGTAACTATCACTACACTGTGAGTCAAACTAAAAGAACCACAATTACTCAGATGATTTTAGTAAAATTAATGTCTTTTTTTGCCAAAACTATTGGCTAGCTAGAGTTCTGATTCACTTAAGTTATACATTGGAACTATATGCTAACTTTTAATAAAAACACTGATACTTTTAAAGCAATAGTAATAAATTGCTAGTTTTGGCATTCCCATATTTTATCTTTCATATAAACCACAAAAGTTTAAAAATGATTTGATTTTTCTTTTTGAAACAAGTCTTGCTATGTAGTTCAGGATGGCTTCCAACTTGCAGTAATCCTGCTGCCTTGGCCTCCTCAATGCTGGGATTACAGGTATGTACCACTATACCCAGCAAAAGTGATTTGATTTTAAAATCTAAATTTTAGTCTTGGATTATTTTTCCATTGTTTTTTCATTGTTCTCTTGCACAGGTCAAATAACTTCATAAAAAACCACTAAGGCCAAAGTTAACTATTTTCTCCACACATGAAAGATGATTTTTTTTCAACACTTTGTCTGGTTATTTGAGTAAATATGTAGATACTGATGCCATACTTTTCTCTCCTTCAGGCACTTCTCTACACTTCCCTGCTCAAAAAATCTTCATCCTATCACTTTCTGTCTTGTTTGACATTTATGTATTTGTCATCTCTTAGGCTGAAAGTGATAGGTAACCTGGAGTTCTTACTATGGGTCACACATAATGCTAACCCTTACTCATATGAACTCATTTGCTTCTCACATCAGTTTTATGTATCCCCATTTCACAGGTACTGTATACATAAGAGTGATCATAGATCACCTTGCAAGTAAATGAAGCCAGTCATCTAGCCCCAAGTTCATACTCTTAGACACTATTGTACCTAAAGATATGAGATTACAATTTCTATTTTGCCTTTACACAAGTAGAGATGCTAAATAAACTCTTCTTGAGACAAAGTAATAAACTCAGCATATTTTAACTATTTGGGGCATTGTATACCAAAATCCGGTATGTTTAAAAAACATAACACAAAATCACTAAAATTGTGACCTGTTCTCACACATATGGCCTTGAATTGAGAACAATAGAGGAAATGGCCATTGCCCTTAAGGAATTAAATAGGCATGGAGAACTTAATCAGTTAAATATACTTCATTGTAGTCATAAGCCACAGTTGATGATACGAAGCAGGGTTAAACAAAACTCAGCTTTTTCTGTCTGGAAAGCCTTTGACATCTGTTTTCCCAATAACTACACCAATTATTTTCTGAAAAACAAAAGAGTATAGAAGACCAGTATTAAACACAGATGTAGATGGTAAATTTAATTTCATGGTGTTGTTATATTTTACTGGGTCTAACAAACATTTTTTACTAGGAACCATTGAAATGTATTTATTTCAAACATATAAAAGAACTTCATAAATGTTCAATTCCACAAGGAATAGTACAAAGTAGTAAAACAGTTAACCACTATTGCAAATATAATCATTTAATACTTAGTATGTTTCTACTTTATTTTCAATCATTAGATGGAGCATAATAACTGCCCTATGCTATCAGTCTTTACTAAATTCACCCTAAGTATATGCATAATGCAATTTAATTTGCCATGGTCTTCAAGGTTTGCTTTTACTTGGGTTTCTAATATAAAATTGCTTAACTTCTTAATCCAAACATGCTAGATAGTACTATAAATTAGACTGTAATAAAACATATATTGTTGCTAATAAATCTAAATTCTAAGGTCCTGGATCTTAATCCTTCAAGATATTAAAATGTCCTTAGAACTTTTTTTTTGGTAGCGGGGATCAAACTCAGGTCCTTGCGCTTTTGGGCCAGGCAGCGGAACCACTGAGCTAAATCCCTGGCCCTCCTTAGAACTTTTAATGTTCTCTTGAATGATTAACAAAGAAAAATAAAATCTTAAAAATGTGCTTTAAGAAAGTGCAAGGACCTGAGTTCAATCCCCAGTACCAAAAAAAAAAAAAAATGTGCTTTAAGAGATAAAAATAATGTAACCCCACCACTTGGGAGGCTGAGGCAGGAGGATCACAAGCTCAAGGTTAGCCTGGGTTACATAGGTCTTGTCTCAAAAAAAAGTTTTTTAAAATTAAAAATTATCTTTTTCAGAAAGGAAAAACAAATTTATATTATTACCAATTTTAGCAACTGATTTTAACTTTGCAGTAACCTGTGACATTTTAAATGGAGTCAAGCTTTTAAGACTATCACATTCTAGCTGAATTATTACCTAGTATTATTGTGTTTAGACACATTGTCATTATTTCTTAAATTCCACATACCTGCACATCCAGTGAATTTTGTTGGATAAACTCAACTGAAGGAAATGTTGAGTAAAACTTTCTATGACTCTTCTTTTTTTTGGTACCGGGGATCAAACTCAGGACCTTGCGCTAAAAACTCTCAGAATTTTTTTTTTGTTTTTTTGGTACCGGGGGGCGAACTTGGGTCCTTGCGTTTGTACAGCAGGCTGTGGAACCACTGAGCTAAATCCCCGGCCCAAGTAAAACTTTCTAATTGAAGAGGCAATTAATAGTTTATTTTTTAAGAAAAACTGTAATAGGAATAACTACTTTTTAACATTAATAAAGATTGAATTGGAAATTACTGAAGTTACATGTAAACTTGTATCATTTTAAGAAATCTGTTTTGCAAAAGCCAGATAGCTGAGGGACTGGGAAAGGAGAAGAATGTGGTAATTCCTTTCAGTAAGTGCTGCATCTTATGGTTCTACTCAGGTTTCTTTTAAATAAATAACGGTTTCCATACATTAGAAATCATTCTTCCACAACTCCTCCCCCAAAAAATGATAAAAGCAGAATAATGACAAGTATTTAAGACAACAACTTTGATAATTTGATTAAGGATTTGCTACTGCTGAATGAAAATGGTTTTACTGAGCTAAATTTGAGCATTTATCACATTTGTCACTTTATTAAATATTAAAATAATGCAAAATACCTTTTGATCATATTGAACAATCACTATCATACCTACAATCATGTCTCCTACTCTACAGACAAAAGAAAGATTAATTTACATTTAGTTGCTATAGATACAAAGAAGTTTAGGGGTACTTAGTATCTAACAATTATACTAAAGCAATGAGTGTCCATATACCTGTCAATGACACAAGTACGTGTTCAATGAATCCATAATGTTTATTTAATGTTACAAAATAGTTTCATTAGCAAATAATCAAACTACTACATCATTGAAACCTACCAGATTAGCCATATTTGGATGCAGATCTGAAAGTGCAGTGAAGGCCTTTGATGCAAAGGAGTTTGCCATTATTATAGCTATATTTTAGAAAATAAAATTTAGATGTATAAATTAAAAATCTGAAACTATTAAAAATTTAAAAAATACTAAGAAAGAATATTTTACTCATTCTTTGAAAAATTATTCATTATAATAGTGAAACATAAATTAATATAGATTTAGCTCTATAAGAAACATGTTTAAAATGTCCTTTTATTTATTTATTTTTGGTACCGGGGATCGAATTCGGGTCCTTGTGCTTGCACAGTAGGCGGTGAAACCACTGAGCTAAATCCCCCAGCCTAAAGTGTTCTTTTATTGCTGAGCATGCTGGCTCATGGCTGTAGTCCCAGAACTTTGGAAGCTGAGGCAGGAGGATCACCATGAGTTCGAGGCTAGCCTGAGCTACATAGTGAGTTCAAGGCCAACCTAAACTGCATCGTGAGACTGTGCCTCAAAAAAAACCCAGGGATTTAGCTCAGTGGCACCATGCCTGCCTTGCAAGCTCAAGGACCTGAGTTAGATCCCCAGTAGCAAAAAAAAAAGTGTCCTTTTATTATTTTGAATGACATTAACTAAAGCTCAGTGAGGTGGCTCACTCATGCTTAGCCCTAGGAAATCCAGATGCTGAAGTGGGAGTCCTAGGTTAATCTGATATGACCTCATCTCAAAAAACAAAAACAAAACCCAAAGTGAATGACATAGTTAAGTTTCCATTTTTCTTTCTTTCTTTTTTGAGACAGGGTCTCACTGTGTAGCTCAGGCTGGCCTCAAACTCACAGTGATCCTCCTGCGTCAGTCTCCCAAATGCTGGGATTACAGGAGTATGCCACAATGTCCAGCTCAATTTTTCATTTTTTAAAATTATGTAAAATTTAATAAATTTTTAATATTATATAAATTTAGAGTTTCAGATGAGAGATGATTCAGTGGGACATTTTAAAATTTACATATTCATTGGCATCGAGCCTAAATAAAAAATAAAGCACAACTATACTGTAAACACCTCAAATCATAAATTTGGTTACATTGTGGGGAGGGAAAGGTAGTAATTTTAAAGACATCTTTAGATGCTGCCCTCATGAAGATAAAGGTAATGTCTTACATATTTTTATGTGTGTGGTTTAGGGGGGTGGTTGGAGGGCTGGTGTCTTGATAAGTTGCCCAGGCAGGTCTCCAATTCCTGGGCTCAAGGGATTTTCCCACAACATCCCTGAGTGCTGGAACTGCAGGAATACACTACTGTGCCCTCCCATGTGTGTATTTCAATGCTACCTAGTACATAGAAAATACACATAAACAAGCCAGTGATTTAGCTCAGTGGTACCACACCTGCCTCACAAGCGCAAAGTCCTGAGTTCGATCCCCAGTACCAGAAAAAAAAAAGAAGAAAAGAAAACACCCACATCAAATAAATGAATGGTGACTTGTCCATAAATATCATCACTATAAAAGGTTTACTATAGCAAAAAAATTGTAAGTTAAACCAAACTAACAGTCTGACTTGATTTTGCTTTTTGTAAAACATAGCCTCTGTAAACCTGGGTATGCCCTCACCCACAGGCTTCAGTTCAAGAAAGTGTTCCCTGACATCGCAATTCAGGAAGCCTGAATTCAGGGAGTTAAATATGATTTTGAATTTCAGCACCACTAGTTTCTAGTTACATATTTTAAGATTACTGAACTTAATTTCCTCATCCTGAAAATGTGGATAATACTACATGCAGTGAGAATTTTAAATTGTGTGCACAAGTTGTCTGGATGTTCACAGGCTCTCAATAAATGATAGCTTTTTTTTTTTTTTTTGTACCAAGGATCAAACTCGGGACCTTGCACTTTCAGCAGCACCACTGAGCTAAACCCCTGGCCCTAGCATTACTTTTTAATATTATCCAGTGTAGTGTAGCAGTTTTTGCATTCAATACAATTCCCACTTCTTTGAGCCACCCATCCACATCATCCCCCATGCTACCTTCCAATCTTCCCAGTACAGAGTCCTCTGCATTCTTAGGTCTCTAGAAGAAACCTTTTTATAATCACCTCAACTATCCTGCTCAACCCCAGTAGTCTCAATTTCTGGTTGTTGCTTATGAACTTTCTCCCTCTTTAGAAGGTTGGCAAAGGAAGATAAGGCCCTGTCTTATCTCATTCTCTGTTGTTTTCCATCGTGACTAGGTAGTTCAGTGCTTCACACATAGTAGCTGATTAATATTTGTCTATAAACAATCTAACTTGTAACTTAGGGATAATAGCGCTATAATTGGCTTTATTAATAAATAAGAATTTTAGTTAATACCTAATATTACATTTAAATCAAACATCTAAATTATGGGAACAGATGTGGCCTATATCTTGCTCTTTTGGGCAAATTTTCTACATTATTTAAATTTTTTTTTTTTAAAGGCAGAGTTTTGCTCTGTACTTCAGGCTGACCTTTGGGTCACCCCCTTCAGGTCAGATCTGTGCATGTCAGGTCCTAGCAGTAGGGCTAACCCTACTGGCCACTGTGGTTTAGGTTTTTGGGATGAGACCCTGCCGTGATTCTCCTGCCTCAGCCTCCCAAGTGCTGGGATTACAGATGTATGTCACCATGGCCAGCTATTTTATTTAAAGATTGATGTTGGACTAGGGTATTACTAGGAAGTCTTTTTTTTGGTACCAGGGATTGAACTCGGGTCCTTGTCCTTGCGCAGCAGGCGGCAAAACCACTGAGCTAAATCCCTGGCCCTAGGAAGTCTTTTCTACGTGGTCATTTCACTATAGGGAAAATCTCTCCAAACTTCCATGATAAACCACAAATTTTGTAACAAACTTTAATAAAATTAGTCATTTTCTTTTACAGAGGGGAATAGTTTTGCTCCTCCTGCTGCTTCCTTGGGAACTTGGGCCAGTTTTGTACTATGAAATTCTAGCTAACTTCCAAATACCCTGAGGTGTCAATTAGTAAGTTGGTTGACTGGCCATCATCTGGAGAATTCTCCAGTGTGGAGACAGAAGAAAGTGTGTTAGTAACTTTTCAAAGTAGTTTCAAATTTTCTAACACTGCTTTTTAAATTTTTTAAATTTTTATTTTATTTTATTTTTTGGTACCAGGGATTGAATTTAGGTCCTTGAGCTTGCACAGCAGGCAGCGAAACCACTGAGCTAAATCCCTGGCCCAACACTGCTTTTTTAAAAAAGAAAAGAAAAATGTATGGCTTGCATACAAATATTTCCAAAAGTTCCTTATTTTATACTCTCCTCATACATTTACACTAGTAACTGACCAGTCCAGGGCTGAGAAATTCTAACACAAGGATCTAAAATATTTTGTTTTAATCTCTGTAGTGATATGCAAGGCTCCCTGCTTGTTCATTCAGTGTTTTAACATTGTATTTTGATGGCTACAGTTGCATAACATTCTGGAAAAAGCAAAATTCTGGAAAGAGTAAAAAGATCAGTGTTGTCAGAGGGTAGGATAGGTATTAGAAAGGAAAGGGAGCTGTTTCTAGGGCAGTGAGACTGGTCTGTAGGATCCTGTAGTGGCAGTTTACTGGCATGACATGACGTATTACTCAAAACTCAGAGGGTACAACACTAAGAGGGAGCCTAATGCAAACTGAAAAAGTATTTGGTAAGGAAGCTATTTTGACACAACGTGGTATACATGACACACATGCTCTTCATGACTATATTCAACAGGTTCTGTATGTACCCTGGGTCTACCCTCGGGTTCTGGATTTTAAGTCTGGCTGTCTCTCTTGCCCCTTCAAACGGCCTCCAGAGCTCCACAGCAGGGTCTCTTCCCAAAATCCCAAACCGCCTGTGGCCAGTAGGGTTAGCCCTACTGCTGGGACCTGACATGCACAGATCTGACCTGAGGGGGGCAACTGGAAGCAGGGACCTGAGGAGAGATATAAGAGAAGGGACCTGAGGGACCAAGCACTGAGAGGAGGCCTTGAAGGCCGGAACTCGAGGGGGCCCTGTGGGGAAAACCTGAGGTGAGAAACCTCCGGCGGACCTGACAGGAGGGGTGAAGTTCCCAGGGTGGGGAATCTGGGGGAGGACTGATGGGTGGAAGATTGAGGGGGGACATTACTGGCGGGAACCCTAGAGGCCCACAGCCGCGCTCTAGCCCGTGAACCCTGAGGGTCCTGCCAGGCACGAGCCCCGACCCGGCTTCCCACAGCGCACGCGGCAGCCTGAAACCCCAGCCCTAAGAAATGAAGTGAGGCCCGTGCCGTTGCTCACGAGATGCTAGCCCGGCTGGCTGCTCTTCTGGCCGGCACTGGAGTCGCTAGCTTTCCGCGGCTTCTCCACAGAGCACCTGGATGGTGACCCAGAGCCCACTCGACTTCGGCACGAGACCGTTAGTACGAGGCCACGCCCAGCCGCGTGCAGACTAGGGGCCCGGCCCGGAGCTCCTCGGCCACCGAGCGCTCAACACGCCCAGTCCCTCGCTGACCACGCCCACAATGTCCTGGCCCCGCCCCCAGGGTAAGTTTACTGTAGTCTTTCCCCGGGGAGCCAGAGCGCGTCTACTGACTAGAGGGCCGAGGGGCCGGCCAGGAGTGGGAGTTACTGGATCCCCGTGAGCAGTTCGTTTGCAGCAGAGGACCCGCAGGTTGAATAGGACGCGAGCAGGCATCCATTGCGGTCACCTGTCTCGACTGGATTTGCGGGATGACCCACTGGGAAAGCATTGAGGAAACGGGGGAAGAATCTCTCTACGCAATAACAAATGCTGGCGGGGCTGTGGGGAAAGGAACCCTGCTCCACTGCTGGTGGGAGTGTAGACTGGTGCAACCACTGTGGAAATTAGTATGGAGATACCTCAAAGAACTAGGACTGGAAGTCCCATTTGACCCTGCTATTCCCCTGCTGGGGATCTTCCCCAAAGAATTAAAAGAATCATACCACATTGATATATGTGCACCCATGTTCATAGCAGCACAGTTTGTAATAGCTAAAGCTTGGAAACAGCCCAAGTGCCCATCAACTGGAGACTGGATAAAGAAAAATGTGTTGTTTTTTTTTAATAAAATGGAGTACTACTCAGCCATAAAAAACGAGAAATTAGAGACATTTATTGCTAAATGGATGCACATTGAGGCAGTACCCTTAAGTGAAATAAATAGGACACACATGTGTAAATACCAAATAGTTTCTCTAGTGTGAGAAACTGAAAATGTAAATAAGGACTAAAAGGTATAATAGATCATGTGAAATAGGAAGCAAAGGGACAAAAGAGAAGGGGAAGTTGGAGGGGTAGGGGAAAGGAAAGAAGGGAATGGAATTAATATGAGAAAATGAAAAAATGGAAACAAAGTCTTTGTAAATAGGGAGGGATGGAGGGGTTGAAGGGAGGGCAGGGGAAGGGGGAAAAATATGAACCAAGAGAGACTATGTAAAGGTGCAAATTTCCAATGATGAATGTCATTATATTGTATACCTAAAATGTACCAATAAAGTAAAATTTTTAAAAAAGAACATATTTTGATCTTTCTAAAAGAATGAACTGACATTTTATGTCGATTTGAAAGGAAAGGAGTACTTGAATCTCAGTGGGGGAATAAGATTTCACATTTTTGTTTGTATTTTTTCATAGTTTAATAAATTAATTTTTGCTGAAAGCTGGATGAGGTTAAGCAGGGAGAATCAGCCTCTCTAGTACACCATGAGCATCTCATAGACTTGATGCTTTAAAATACAAGCCCAAGGGCCAGGGATTTAGCTCAGTGGTTCTGCCGCCTGCCTCGAAAGCTCAAGGACCCGAGTTTGATCCTTGGTACCAAAAATGAATAAGTAAATAAATAAAATACAAGCCCAAAATAGGAATGCTCAGCTCTTGACACTTGATGTAAAAGTCAAGGGTGAGTGAGCAGAGGTCATTGCTGAAATAGCTTATATGTCTGGTATGGAGTGGTGGGTGGCTCCATTGTCACCTTCCTAGAGCATCTAGAAGCTGTCAGACCATGTCTGACAGGACTGTGTCACAAAGAAGTGACCAGGAAAAATATTTACAATAAATTTTACATATACTAATAGGTAGGAAAAACAATTATTATAGTGAGTTACAAGACAATCTTCCATTAATTTGGTGTTGTAATTACAAAAATAAGTCTTCTAACATTGATTCTGTGACTATGATATTCCTCCCAGGAGCTGAAACGCTAATGGTTCAATTTCTGGCATAATTAGTCTCACTCCCCACTCCTCACTCCTTCCAGGAACTAACCAACCTTTAAGTAGATTGTAGGTATGCTAACCCTTATAGATTTTTTGGAAAATCTTTGCAAAAGTTTGTCTAGAGAATATCCAGGCACTAAGGTGCACACTGTAATCCTAGCCATTCAGAAGGCTGAGACTGGAAGATGGCAAGTTCTAACTCAACCTGGACCACTTAGTGATACCCTGCCTTAAAATTCAATGTAAGGGCTGGGGATTTAGCTCATTGGCTCTGCTGCCTGCCTTGCAAGGGCAAGGTCCCAAGTTTGATTCCTGGTACTACAAAAAAAAAAAACCATTCCAACCTTAAAATTCAATTTTAAAAAAGGTCTGGCAGGCAACGACTTCCTGAACAGAATTCCAGTAGCACAAAAAAATAATACCAAGAATTAACAAATAGGATTATATTAAATTTTTTTAAAAACTTCTGCACACCAAAGGAAATAATTAACAGAATGAAGAGACAACCTACAGAATGGGAAACAAACTTTGTCAACTACTCTTCTGACAGAGGACTAATACCTAGAATATATAAAGAACTAAAAAAAAAAAGGACTCCAAAAACCAAATAACCCAATCAAAAATGGGCAAATTAAATTAATAGACACTTCTCAACAGAAGAAGTACAAATGGCCAATAAGTACATGAAAAAAAATATTTAACATCTTTAGCCATTAGGGAAATGCAAATAAAAACGACAATGAGATTCCATCTTACCCCAGTCAGAATAGCTATCAAGAACACAAAAGGGCTGGGGATGTAGCTCAGTGGCACTGGCACCTGCCTGGCAAACACAAGGTTCTGAATTTGATCTCCAGTACTGAAAAAAAAAAAATGCTAGCAAGGATGTAGGAAAAAAAGACCCTTCAACATTGTTAGTGGGAATGTAAACTAGTATAACCACTATGAAAATCAGTATGGACATTTCTCAAAAAACTAAAAATCGAAGTTCTGTCTAACCCAGCTATACCTCTCTTGCATATTTTCCCAAAGGAGTTAAAAGACATCATTCTATACAGATACATGCATATTCGTGTTTATAGCAGCACAATTCACAATAGCTAAACTATGGAAACATCCCAGGTGCCCATCAACAGAAAATAAATAAAAAAAATGTAACATATACACACAACAGAGTATTACTCAGCCATAAAAAGGACGAATTCAAGTAATTTGTAGGAAAACAGATGAATCTTGGGCCAGGGACTTAGCTCAGTGGTTCTGCCACCTTTCCCACAAGCGCAAGGACCCAAGTTTGATCCCCAGTACCAAAAAAAAAAGGGCTGAGGATACAGCTCAATGATAGAGCCCTTGCCTAGAATACATGAGGCCCTGGGTTCAATCCCCAGTACCTGAAAGAAAAAAAAAAAGAGAAGAGGAGCCAGATAACTGTGAGATGGGTTGGAAGAACTGGGTATGGAGATCAGGTCTAGGGGGAAAATGAAGTAATTTAAGACCTATTGAAGTGAGTAAGTAGAAGAAATAGAAGAAAGTGAAAAGGGCATTTGGGGGGTAGTGGATTCATGGAGGTCTGAAGAAGCTCTGGAAGGAAGAGAGTTTGTCAGAAATAAGGCAGAAGCAACTTGAGCAGCCTGAGGACTGAGGACCCAGGAACATTCTGGAAAATTCCACAGAATCCGTGCAGACTCCTGAGTTGGGCTTTTGGGGTTCTGTGGGAAGCATCTTTTTCCCAAGTTCATGTGGTGCTAGCAAAAAAGAACTTGAGTTTTTTTCTGACAAGTAAAATAATGGAGAGGAGGAACACAGAGGCTGAGGTTGTTTTTTTGTTTTGTTTTGTTTTTTTGTACCAGGGAGCGAACTCAGGACCTTTGCCTGTGAGGCAGGCATGGCACCACTGAGCTAAATCCCTGGCTGAGGCTGGCATTTTACTGGGCACAGTATGGAAGGATTTGTATGGAGCTAGGAAGTGAGACCAGAAGGCTGAAATGGAGCAGTGAGCCTGGCTTAAAATAACTCAGTGTCCAAGGACCATGCTAAGGAACTGCTAAGTACTGGTGCAGGCTGCTTTTGCCTGAACAGGCCTGATGCTCCTGTTCCTGAAAGAACGTGCAGAGGGAGGAACAGCTGGAGAAAAAGCCCTAGCCACTAAATCCCATGACTAATCTTTGGACAGGAATCTGGCACTCCAGCCTGACCCCCTGGAAAATTACTCTTGAGACAACAGGGAGCACAGACCATCTCTTTGAAGGGCTTTCAAATGTTGAGAGCCATTCTATATAATTTTTGGGGAAAAATAATTTCATAATTAAATTATGATTAGGGCTGTCTAAGACCTAGTCTCCTTGACCGAGAGCTGGCTATGGCATGTGGAAACGATTCCACTTTGCCTCCCTTCACAAGTTGAGGCCTCAATGGTCTCACAATACTGTGACACTCTAGGACAAGATTACATCAGCTGAAGATATTCTGGTTTTTTGAGAATCCAGTAATAATAAAAAAAGAGAAAGATTTCATCTGGGGGAAAGACAAATTCCTTATTAGCCTGCTATCTCATCCCACCTACTATCATAAGAATGCTTTGCCCATCTCACTGTCCTCATCAACATAAGATCTCATCAACCTAAGATCCTCGTTGACCTAGGATTACTGCTGCCCTCTAAGTCACCCAATCCTCCCTCCGATTATTGTGTGTACCCAATAAATAGTAGCTACCTCAGAGTGTCTTTATCTTTGCCCACTCTGAAACACTGACCTCCTAGTCCCCCATGTATTATGAAGTTATGTCTCTATTATCTTTCTTTCTTTAGCCCTTGTCGCCCTCCTTTCTAGGCAGATCAGAAGATTGATTGGCCTCTGATACTCAAGGGCCAGGTTTATCATCATTCATATTAAGCATATATAATTTTTAAAATTAAAACTAAATTATGGCAACATGCTTCCACCACCTCTACTACCATTCACAATGGCCTTGACCCTTCTGCCTCCCACTGCATGTCACCAGCCACTGCTGTCCAGATTCAGCATTGTGTCTCCAAGCTCAGTATGTCTAACACTTAGCTCCTGGGTTTACTCCAAACCAGCCCTGCTGTCCCACATATATCTAGAACCTCAAAGTCACAACCTCAGAGGTAGCCTTGAATCCTCTGTTGTTTTCCGTTTGTATCTCCTCAGACATCAGATTCTATTTTTCTTTGGCCTCTCTCCTGTCTCTCCATAACTACTGCCATCACCTTCATATAGATGC